TTTGTCAACAATTTGATAAACTATTATAATTCATGTCATAAACTAAATTCATACTCCTCTCGGGTGAAAAAAATGCAAATGACAACAAATAAGCAAAGTACCAAAAACAAAAAAAAAAACCATGAATTTTTTTGTATATATGACTAATTTAGTATGGAACTTACAACAGTCTCTAAATCTTCTTTTTTTTTTGAACAAAAGTCTCTAAATCTTTACCAATAAAACATTATATAAAATACATATCTCTACAATTATAAAGAATCGTAATACATATCATGTCTCATATCACTATAAACGCAACAAATGCTTGTGTATACTCTAATCTAAAGAATGCAAAAATGAAGTGATAATGTTGAAATGCAAAAAGGACATGTGCATGAATATGTAAACTGTATTATTATTACTACCTTTCGAAAATAGACAATTCGATGGATCGGACCGTTATATTGTGTGTGGCGCGTATATAATAAATATGTACATTTTTAATAACAAGAAAAAAGGTTTCGTAGATTTAAGGAGTCAAACTAAAAGAGGAGACATGATCTCAAAATGACACTTTGCTCTAACACAAATCTCTTATCTCCCTTATTAATTTTCATGTCTACTTTCAATGAAATATATGTGATCGGACGAAAATACCGTTGGTATCATTTATTAAAAAAAACTGAAAAATTTTAAAAACAAAAAGAAAAAGAAATCGGGGAGAGAGGAACGAGAACGACGCTCAGAATCGCGTCGACGTTGAGCTCTCGCAGGAAAACGAGGTTTCCGTCGCCGTCGAGCTCTCTCAACTCAATCGCCGTCATTTCTTTGCCTCCGCAGATCTGCATTAAGCTCTCCTTGAAGACCCAGGTCCGTTCTTCAGCTTTCTGTTTTCGCTACCGTCGAACTCTCTCAACTCAACCGCCGCCGTTTTTTTGCCTCCGTGGATCTGCATTGAGCCAAGATCCAGCTCCGTTCTTCAATTGATTTAGTTTTAGATTTGCAAATTGAGGGATTGAATTGGATTTGATTATGCA